TTCTGTCATAAGATTCTTAATTTGTTTTTGTTTTTCTTTATCAACAAATACCTTCATATGTTTGAAGTTCCATGTGGCTTTGATTCTTTTCTTACAATTAGGGTTCTTGTCTTGCATTTCTTACAAACATCTGGAAATGTTACTCTCCTGCCTCCAAGAATCATATACCACTGCTTGTGAGTTTGACCTTCGACCAGGTCTGAAGTTCTTGATTCAAAAAGTAATTCGTGCAGATGTAGCAGCCAATTTGTATAAGCAGGCAGGAATTAGCTGGACGATCCAGGCTTTGGTTCTGTTTGAGCTCTGTTTTCATCATCAAAATTTAACACTGGAGCATGTAAATGAATGGCTACACATGCATGATCAGGATGAAGGTGTTAATACTAATAGAGATGCTACAGCAAACTGTTCAAACAAGGGTACAATTCATCAACAGAAAGAAAATGCAGCACTGGAAGCAGTGGGAACAGGTGACTTACATGCTTCTACAGAAACTTATCAATTTACTAACAACCACAACAGTGATAGTAGAAAGCTTCAAAGTATACTAGAAAGACCTCCAACAATATCAATGATATTTGATGCCAAGGACCAAAAATTACTTTTCAATGCCTTCTGGAGACTTCAGAATTTCTTCTTCAGCCTGTGTGATAGTTATGCAGATATGTGTTTGGATAAAGATGGAAATCTGGCCGTAGTTGACAGAATTGTCGACCAACCAATCTTCTTTCTTGTTGCTCCACAGGAAGATGTACTTGATGGAACTCTGATCCAGAAGCCAAACACAGAGAGTTCATCTGTGACTGAGGAGAAAGATGGCACTGAATCCAAGAGTCCCAAGCTGGTCAAGCAAACAAGCACAGAAAGTACTGACTCGGAGACAGGAATAGCATTAGGGTTTGACGACAAGGAAGATAAAGTGTACAGTGTTGCTACAGAAAAAACTATCCAGTCCATGTTGAATGAGTACAAGAGGAAGAAAATTAAACATTCCATGCCTTCATCTCTACGAGACAAACCGAAGACCAAATGGAAACCAAACAGTGTTGATCCAAAGCAAAGAGAGGATACAGACATTCCAGAAGAAATCAATCGGCAAAGACGAAGCTCAATCATGAAGGTAAAATCTTTATTCTTTTCAACATTGAATGAAAGTTTTATTTAGTTAAATGTAACATTCCTACCCATTATATCGAAGTTGTTTGTTAGGATCTTCACATTTTGATGAATATGTATATAACAGTTGAAGGTTTTGGACTTTTATCCTGTTATTAAACATCTTTTTACATTGCTTTACAATAAAGAAATTAGGTTATTATTATTAGCTACATTACCTATAGATCAAGCAGCTCTTTTATCCAAACCTCATTTCATATCATGTAATGCAGTATATTGAGCTGTACAATTTCAAGATGTCATTGGCCAAGATATAAACATTTACATAATTTCCTGATATTAAGGTCAAGCTATAGAGAGAAATGAAATGCACATTATTATGGAAATTAAGAATAACTTGAAATCACAGTCATTTAGATAATATAACTTGTTTTCATTAATTACCTTATAAATCTTTTAAAATTTTGTAACAAATTAACAGCTCAACACTTATTCACTGCTGGTCAGAAGAATAACTATATCATAGGTAGGAGAGCCCATTTCACCTTAAACAGGGTCCTCTTTTTTTTTTTTTTCCATTGACACTGTTTGGCATTTCCACAAAAGTTATTTTTATGGTATATGCTTCAGTGAACACCACATGTTGCTACATTGTTGAGAACCCAGTGATCCTGAAAAATGGATCTAATAACAAATGTCTTTAAACATTTGAAATCCTGTTATTGTTTACATTTTAGATGACAGTCCGTTTAATTAAATGATATCATAAATTCATTGTTCAGATTAAGCTAGGTTGTGATAACTACAACAAAAAAAAAGAATCAAATCTTTGGAACCATAGAACTTTTATTATTTATAACTGTTTCTGATCTGAACCATTTTTGTTCTGATTTTTACCTATACACATGATTGCACATTGTAGGATGGAGAAGCACATCTTCAAGTCTGGACACAGCTGATACAGTCTCTCCTAGAGCTTCACTTGTCTCTTTCTGAATCCCAGTTTTCTGCTCTCCTCCCTGTTGTCTTCCCTGGTGTTCGCACCCTGGTGGCCTATGCATCAAGCTCAGAGCTGAGGCTCTCTGTTGCTGAGTGGCTCCTTCGAGTTGCCACTGTGCGTGGATTCTCAGGACAGCCTTTTCCTCTGACACCAGAGGCATAATCAGTTTTATCGACCATTTTATAAGTGCATGAAAATCTACAATATTTTCTGTTTCCCATACATGTCTGTTAATAACATAAAATGTTTTTTTATTATTTTAAATTTTATATATTTTTTTTGCAATAATGTAAAATAAAAATTGGGGTTTGGCTATTCAAACCTTTGAACATTATCAAAATATTTTGTTATGAGATAAAAACTTAAGTTTTAATTGATTTATTATGCATTCAGAATTTGTTATGAAATCATATTTATTTACTTCAACAATTCAGTTTTTTATTTTAAGTATTTAAGAGAGTTTTATTTTGATAATCATGTTAAACTATCTTAGAAAAACAGGAAGTTAAAATGGAGGAAAATCATAAACTTAAGGCTTTTTTTATAGCCAAATTGTAAGATACTGTGATGTCTTAAGAAGCCTGTCATATTTCTAACACTAGTCAAAGTTTTATATATATATAAAAATATAAATAGTTTAAAACTTCCACTATTTTTCTCTTACCAATGTATATTTAAGAACAGTTTCTTTATATGTTTTGAGAATGAAAAGAACACAATGTAAAGGCTGGTAAGTTTGAAACTTTCTACCTTAGCTTTGCCTTGTAATAAGTTTAGGAAATATGCTAGAAAGTTCTGATCTAGTCTATTGCTATGTCAGTAAAACACTAGTCAAGCTTGCTGTTTATTTTTTTTTATATTGGGTTTTGTTGTTTCTTGTTTTAGATCATGTGCACCTTATGATTCTACCTTATTAGTCATTTTATTTCAAAATTGGATATGTGCGTATAGTAATATATATCTGTAATTTTATATGGATTTGAGGTGTTATAGTCTTGTGAAAGTAATGGTACCTTTGGTTTTCACTAAAACTATATATAAAATCTTTGTTTATCAAATATATGATAACATACATTCTAAAAGTTGAATCAGTTGTAAACTTATACAACTCTGGTTTAATGCAAGTTTATATACTGGGACTCCAGTTTATCTGTGAATAAGGGAGAGGCAAAGCCAGTTTCAGTTTATCATCACCATAAACATTTTTCTGTTCCTAAATAGACAACAATATGACATTTGCTCTGTTGTAGCTTAATAACAGTGATAATACTAGTTGTAGAATGACTGCCATATCTTCTTGTCAACCAAGTGTCACTGTCAGAGATAGGCTTATATTATTTTTATTAATTTTTCTTCACTTATTAATTGGCCTATATGCATAAAATCTGCAAATAAAACTAACCTCTTATCATCTTTACTAATAAAATTTGATTCTGAAAGAGTAATATTTTTAACCAGTTGGAAAGTTTTTAATCCCCCCAAAAAAGGATTCATTAGTTTGATAAATATGTAATATGTGTACATGTTTTCACAAATGTCTTACCGACAGGGAAAAAAAAAAGTACAAATAATCTTAGAACTAGATAGGCAGCATATAAGAAAAAAAGTTTTATTTTATTTTGGATGAACTTTCTTAGAGCTTAAGGTTTTATTATGTGTTATAACCACTGCTTAACTTAATTGTTTTTGGCCCGGCATGACCAAGTGGTTAGGGCGCTCAACTCCTAACCTGCGGGTTACAAGTTCGATTCACCATCACACCAAACATGCTCGCCCTTTCAGCCATGCTGGTGTTATAATGTGATGGTCAATCCCACCATTCGTTGGTAAAAGAGTAACCCAAAAGATGGTGGTGGGTAGTGACGACTAGCTGCCTTCCCTCTAGTCTTACACTGCTAAATTAGGGACGGTTAGCGCAGATAGCCCCCTCGTGTAGCTTTGCGAGAAGTACATAACAAACCAATTTAATTGTTTTTAGTGTTTAACTGTGACCCCTTTTTGGCTGTTATAATTGAAGTAATTTAGCTACATGCAACAAACTTTGTTAGGCAGGATTTAATAGGTATTGTCATTGTTTGTCTAAAGTTAAAATATAAAATACTATGAGGTACAGTAAAAGACAAAAAAAATGTTTATTGGTTAGTGAAATGTGATTCAGTGTTAGGTGTTCAAGAGTAATCTTAATTCAAATACAAATTATTGGAAACCACGTGTTCATGTAGCTCATATATAATGCTTCATTATTTTAAAACAGTTTATGTCAAGTGTAACTTAGAAAAATGTGTTATGGAAAATTTTAACCACGTGTTTGTGCATGAATATTTCAACTTCAGCATAGTGGAAGTTAACCAGAAAAGTATACTTGTAAATGTTGTCCAGATTTATGGTATTATTGATATACAAGTTCTAACCACTAATTATTTGTGAAAGTATTTATAAACATTTACTGCATGCGAAATCTTTTAGTAAAAAAAAATCGTTTTTCTTTTTTCTGTATTAAGGTTACTTTTGACACTTGATGGTATATTAAATCAAAGTTTGCCTTGTCGTTAAAATTTTGATGTCGTGAGCCGTTTTGTATCAAATTTTATTCTGCAAGTTTATAAATGACTATTTTGGCAGCTATTGGAGTATAAATAGAACATTTTAATACGCAACGGGACAATCTAAGTTTGACTATTGACTATAATAAACTCAAGTTACACAAGGCATACAGAAGCATACATAAAATTCAAAATTTATAGCCATCACTTGTGTATCAGCTTTTCAACCAGCTAACAAAATTCCTTGTCAAGAACACTTCAACAGTTACGTAACAATAATGAAAAATTGTGTAAATGTACAACAATATCAAACAACGTATTTTAAAAATATACGTTTTCAATTTCCATACATGTAAATGTATAAACGATTTCAAAACTGGATTCTTGTATACGTAAAAAAATGATAAAGGTTCTGTACGTAAAGAGGTGTTTATATTATGTGTTAAAAGATAAAATTAATACAGCATATTCATGTAGATGGTATACACCAATTTTTCAGAAGAAAAATCTTTTTACGCACGACTCTATTTTGATGTTTGGGGGAAATCTGGTCTTGATTTTTGTTCGTTTTTTGTTAAGTATATTGTGAGATATGTATATTTAAGCTGCTGGTATAATAAACAGTTAGTGGTAATAGCACTGTGCTATGTACTAGAATTTGACCTTTCTGTGTTTTTATTAATATTTTAAGAGTAATATGTTGTTATACTCAAAATCAGGAATGGGCTTTGAAATGATAGGAGGCCACATCACAAAATCCACTAAAAAAAAAAAACTGTGACTGATCACACGTCATTCGTTTTGAAATAAGGCATCTTATTAAACCTAGGGACTTTTCGCAAGTTCGCAAGCATTTTATAAATATGTAATTTACAGTTAGTAGATTAAAAAAAAAAAGGAAAACATTGAATTTTTTTTTACTGTTTTCTCACAAGTCATTAACTATTTTCACTGTAAAAATGTCAAAAATATACCATATTTGTTCTTTTAGTATTTGTCAGTGTATATAATATATAAACAATTGGATATGTTACTGCAACAAACAATTTTGATTGAGTGGTACCTTTACTTAAGGGCCTGGCTTGACCAAATGGTTAGGGCGTTCGACTGGCAGTCTGCGGATCGTCCCGTCAAAGATGCTCGCATTTTCAGCCTTAAAGGCGTTATAATGTGACGGTCAAACCCAATATTCGTTGATAAAAGAGTCGTCCACGAGATGGCGGTGGGTGGTGATGACTAGCTGACTTCCCTCTAGTCTTTCATTGCTACATTAGGGACGGGTAGCGCAGATATTCCACGTGAGTTTTACGCAAAATTCAAAAAACAAATAAACCCGTACTTGAAGGGTTAATATTTTTACTTGCCACCTGTTGATGGCACCCATGAAATTATCTTGCAGGCCGTGAGTTTCCCATTCCAGCCCTAAATAACGAAAACTGCCTGATTCAGTATAGTATGGTGACGATTTAGAACTTTCTAAATATAATGATAATTGTAGTCATGATTATTCCTTTACAAGTATTTTACATAAATAGTATGTAATTTTTAAAGTAAATATATATATACAATTATGGAGCTCAATAATTTCGAGTACTGTGGCCTCGGTTCTTGCACGAGCGGTTTGGTGCAGTTTTCTCTCCTGAACCCAGCTATCTTTCCATGGTTTTTAAAGCCGAAGAGAATTTTATACTGAGGACAAATCTTTGCTTGAAATAGCGACAAAACCTAATAGGATTTTCAAACTGAATTTGAAAGCTATAAATCTTGTTGAAACAAAAACTGATCTAACTTTTTTTTCATAAAAAAACGAAGTATTTAGTTTTTAACTTTGCAAAAATAAAAGTAGACAATTGTATAGATGTTATGGGACAGATCACTACGCTTTTGTAGTTTGTGTTATTAAATATATATATATATTGTCGAGAGAGGACTGACCTTTCAGGCTGGAGTAATGAAAGTGTTATATAAGCGCTAAACTTAAGGGCTTGTTACCTTAGCATGTGTGCTCAATTTGTGCAACGGACACCGTACAGATAGCGCCTTATGCAGCTTGTGGTGAGACGTACATTAGATGCCGGACAATTAACGTGCCTGGACTATAAATCCAATGTTCAAGGTTCTCGACCAGTTGCTGCAAAAACGCACTTCGGAATTGTGGGTACGCTTCGGGCTAACAGTTAAGTTCCACTATTCGATCGGGTAAGAGAAGGCAGTGGGTGCTGTTGACTAGTTGCTCTCACTAATATGTCATTTCAAAATTATCCCCACCTCCATCCCACAGTGGCTCAACGGCAAGTATGTGAGCTTGTAACGCTAAAAATAGGGTTCAGTACCCGTGGTTAGTGCAGCACAGATAGCCCATTGTGTAGATTTATACTTAACGACAAACAAATTAAAATTAAGGTTGGCTATACGTATACATAGCCCTTGTAGAGCTTAGTACGAAATTTCTAAAAAAGCACAAATTTGAAACTATGCAAAATATATTATGGAAATAAATTTTTAATAATGTATATTTTCACAATACAACGATTTGTATTGATATTTGGTATTCAATTGTATAGCATTCCCGCGAAATGAAGTACGGATCAGGGCAACACAACAAGCTCCACATGTGCTAAAATAAATTATTAATGCCTCATTAAGGGTTATGTTCTGCTACTATAGTAGTTAAAAAAAGGGTGATGTAATGATGTTCTTTTTGTCTCTCAGTGGCACAGCAGTATGTCTGCGGACTTGTATCGCTAGAAACTGGGTTTCGATACCCGTGGAGAGAAGATCACAGATAGTCTGTTGTGCAACTTTGTGCTTAACTACAAACAAACAAGCCTCCCAGTGGTTCAGTGGTAAGTTTGCATGCTTACAACGCTACAAACCGGGTTTCGATACCAGTGGTGGGCACAACACAGATAGTCAATTCTATAGCTTTTTGCTTAACACCAAATAAACAAAAATACTTTTTGAAAAAGAACATAAAGAATATAAAAAATATTCAAAACATGATTGCCTCTCCATTAAAAACAAAATATTTGTATTTATCAAGAAGTAAATATTGTGACAGCGGGAGAAATTTACAGGATTTTTTACCTTGTAGCTTGCGGGTCTTCGATTGCTTGCATAAACAAACAATAATTAGTTCAAACTTGTTTAATTTATGATAAATAAAAAATAAAACGCATTTTTGTCCTAGTGGCTAGCGTGCCGGGCTGTGTATTGGAAGGTCTAGAGATCCATCCGCAATGTACCACTAAATATTCCGCATTTTCGGCTGTTGGAGTGTTATATATAACTATGAAAATCAGTTTCTCTGTTCAGTTATGACTGCTCTCTATACAGCTATCATAACTGAACAGTTGCTGCTAAATGGTTGTGTCTCGTTCATGTTGATAAGACCAATTAATTAGAAACAAGGTGCCAACATGGTTTGCAAATATAAATCTGCATTTCATACGAAACATCCCATCTACCATCAGTTAAGATAGAACTTTGAAGTATCTTACAAGACGAATTTGGGACTTAATGTATGGAAATCCAACAGTAGAGGTAACATTCATATTGTGCCTTTCATTCAAAAGCAGTGAATCAATAAGCGGCTCCATCTGAGCAACAAAACAATAGTTGTGAACCCTACTTTGACTCTTGGGTTTGTAACCCAATAATGTATCTTACCCAGACAGCAAGGGACTTCAACGTGTTAGAAGAAGTTTTAAGTTATCACTGTGTGTAAGTTAACTACAACGTTATAATATCTTTTTCACAAGTACCATCAACATATCAAACATATATAGTGCAGACGACCAGTGGGCGTAGTTAAGCCTATTTAGGTGAAACAGAACGTCCATTTGAACTATATAAGGACGACTCTAGGCCATCTTGAGCGCGAGCCTGACTTTTTTTCCTGAAATACTTCCTTGTCTAAAATGTAACTAAAGTTCAAACGATAAAAGTGAAGGTCAGTGATAAAGAAAGACAATTTCTATAATGATGGAATTAAAGAAACTATAAATAAGAAAAATTCAATTGGGTCGGGTAAATTACTTAATAGACTGTGGCTGTAAGCCTTAATTGGAATTTTATTTTTAGCTTAAAATATAATAATCCCCTAATATAACCTTATAATTATCAAATTAACATGTTTAACTTATTGTTAACAAGAGGTTTCTTAAATATCGCTTTTTTTGTT